CAGCAAAATATTCTAAAAGAGTCCAGTAGCCCATCATAGTATTGGGTCTTCCACTTGACTGGCAATGTCAGAAATTGTTGACCTGAGCCCCCTATAGCTGAACATAACAGCATGACTTTACTTCTTATATTTTGTTTTTATACTTTTCTGCTGGATGGTTAAGACCAAGGTAAAGCAGGACCTATGCAACAAGAGTTGTAGCTTTTGGGTCTGAAAAGGTCAGTAAAATCTCCTCAGGATTTATCCTGAGATCCTGTACCTCAGATTGTAGAACCTTTGTCAATGTCAACCACTAGGAAGAATGTATGCAATGTGTTAATTATTGAAACTGTCCTACCAATTTGATTTGAAACTGTCTCATTGCTATTTGTTTATCAATAAAATTATGGGAAAAAAAGATATACTCACAAGTGAAATAAACCAGACACATTATATAGTTTCCCTAGTAAAAGAACTCAAAAGAAGAAACACAATTAGAAAAGTATATAACAAGCAAAAGGAAAGCAAGAAATCGAGAACTATCTAATTAAGAGAGGGAAATGAGAAGAGCTAGGAAACATGACAGTGACAAGTCATACAGTCATATGTAGAAGATGGGCAATGTAATCATCCTGAGAATCTCCAGAAGATTTTTGAATCTAGCAGTTAATTGGAAAGATTCTCACCCTGACTATATATACAGACACCTGTGAACTAAGCAACTGCACTGAAGATGGAAATTTGTAGTAGTAGGTTCATGTCATTCTGGTTTTCTGAATAGGAGCTGCTTGTCATGACATGCCAGTTGCTGCTGTGCTGTCTCTTGGGTAGATGATTGTTCAAAAACAAGAGGTTGGTGAATGAAGGCAGGAGACAGGAAAAGGAATGTTGAGTCTGTCCTCCTTCAAGGTTGTATATGGTTAGATTTCTGGACTTACGTGTAAACATAAGAATTATATAATTCTTTATGCCTATTATTAAAATATATTCTAATTTTTAAAAAAAGAAGTGAGAGTTACAATGAACACTAGCAGTTTGCCCTTTTGGCTTTTCTTCTTCCTCCTTTCCCTGGCTACCAACCCCATTTCTGAAGGGCACAGCCTTCCATGTCCTTATTTATCTCATAAAATAATCTTTATTTTCCTCACTTTCCAGTTTTTTAGGAGACCTTAGTATTTATGCCACATAAATGGGGATTATTTTATCTGTCCCAGATCTATATTGCATCACTCAGCATTACTGGGAGGGGAACAGCTCAGAGTAACAGAGGAACAAACTAATGAACTTCAGGTTTGTATTGAGAGGCTGAGGATTGGAGGAAGACAGAAAACAAGACAGACACCTTGTGAATGTCTTACATTGACTGTTCATGGGAAACACTATGGAAAATATTGAGTTTGCCACTCCCTAAAGAAGTTAAGAGTCCTTTTTTCTGCTAAGGATAAATCTGAAGCCTCCAGCAAACCTTGGTGACCTACTGTCTCTATTTCCACCAGGTTTTCATCATCAACCTGCTCCGAGATATAAAGTATTTTCACTTCCGACCTGTGATGGACACATACATCCAGAAGCATTTTGCTGGAGCCCTGGCATACAAGTAAGTTGCATTTGGTATTAGTATTAAGACTTGTATTTAAATAGAAAACTAGCTTTTAAAAAGTTCAAGTGCAGCCACCATTTGTTCACCTCCCCCACCTCACTTTTTGTAAGCTTCACTTATCTGTATGTTCAATTTATCCCAAATTTGAAATATTTTCTGCTGTTATTTCTGTAGATTTTTTTGTGATTAGTCCTGTCTCTTGATTTTTCACTAATATCACTTACTCTTAGATTAGTCTTCTTTGCATTAGCCACCAGATCTAGGATCCATTTTTCATGTTCTTTTGTAGTTTTTAAGATACCTCTGAGTTTATGACCACCAATATCAGACCCATGTTCTAATTCTGACACTTTGTCTCGTATTGCTCACTTCTGCTGCCCATACTTCCAATAGGAATTTTAATCTTCTAGATTTCTGTTTAGTATCTTTTTATGGACTTTATTTCTTTGCTATGCTAGTTATTCATGTTTCGTATCATTTTGTTTAACTCAGCTAGCTTTACTTGGTGTCTTCTGTAAATTCACTGATTTTTTTTTATTGAGTTCATTATCTCTTATATCTTCTTTGAGCTCACCAAGTGAGCTTGGTGGTCTATCTTTTTAAATCTCTTCTTTTATCATTTCAAGGATTCTGATTTCCTTCCCTTCTGTGCCCATCCATCAGCTTTGAGAGAACTGAGAGTTTCTGGGGACATTTTAGTGTCTTGTTTTCTCATATTCTGGGTTTTATTGTCTATATTCTGCAGTTTACCAGTTGATTGTAGTAGAAAGACTTTGTTGTCAGTATAGAGACATCTTCATTTGTTTGTATTTCAGTGATGCACTCAGCATAGAAAGTGCATTGGATTTATAGACTGCCTTTAATAGTATGGTCATTTTAACAATGGATTCTTCTATGAACACAGGGCATCTTTTTATTTTTATGATCATATGATTTTGGTGCTTCATTTGTTGATGTGTTATATCATGCGTATTGATTTGTATATGTTGAACAATTTTTGTCCTTCTTGGATGAATTTCACCTGATCATGGTATAATCTTTTTACTATACTATTTGGTTTTGCTAATATTTATTGAGAACTTTTGCTTTTATGTTTATCAGGAATATGGGTCTATAGTTTTTTTTGCAAGTGCTATATTTTTGTGCTGTTTGGCTGGAGGGGTGATGCTGGTCTTCTAAAAAGAGTTTGGCAAAGTTCCTTCCCTCTCAGTTTTTTGGAGGACTAGGGAGGTAGCTCAGTAGAATAAGTGCTTGCCTGGCAAGCACAAGGTCCTGAGTTCAATCCCCAGTAACCCCCACCCCACCCCACCCCCCAAAAAAAGGTTTTTGGGCAGTTTAAAAAGACTTGGGATTTGTTTTCCTATAAATGTGTCAAATTTCACTGCCATCAAGTCCTAGATTTTGTGTGTATATGTGTGTGTGTGTTTAGTAGAGTCTACAGGGTCTTACCATGTAGATCCAACTCGTAATGATTGTTGTTTTCAGCCTCCAGAGTGCTGGGATTACAGACATTTGCCACCACACCCAGTCTCAATTGCCATCTCAGCATGCCCTGGGGGTGGACCTGGCATGGCACACTGGGGATCGAACCCTGGCTGCTGCACTCTGCTTAACCAGGCACTTTAATTCGCTAAGATATCTGGCCAGCCCTTAATTCCTATATATTTTTAGACAGATTTTTAATTACTGTTGCAATCTCATCACTCATTATTACTCTGTGTAGAGTTTTTATTTCTTAATTCATAATGTATGTGTTCAGAAATGTAGCCATTTCTTCTGGATTATCTGCATACTATTATCAAAAACTATGATTTAGGCAGAGCAAAAAACAAAGAGATTGGTGGGACAGACCAAAGTTAATTAAGTGTAAGGCCAGGGATATAGTTTAGTGGCATAAACTCCTTCCTGGCAAGCACAAGGTCCTGAGTTCAATCCCTGGTCAAAAAAAAAAAAAAAAAAAAAAAAAAAAAAAAAAAAAAAAGTTCATTACATATGTGACAGAAGTGGTATTCAATTCAACAGTTAAAGGACAGCACTAGCAAAAGAATTGCTGGAGTAGGATTTTTTGCCGAGTTCCGGGAGCCCCCAGACCCAGTCCTAGCCCAGGTCCAGTGAGTGTGCGGAGAGTTTCCTGCTACCCTGCGCCGGCGGGACCAGTCCCAGCCCAGGCGCAGCTTGGGCAGGACC